ATGACAAAACAGGAAAAAGATAAATGTTGGAGAAGATGTGGGAAAACTGGAATACTAATGCATTGTTAGTGAAGTTGTGAAATGATACAACCATTTTGGAGAGCAATTTGGAACTATGCCCAAAGGGCTATAAAAATGTGCATACCCTTCAACCCAGCAATAGCACTTCTAGGGCTGTATCCCAAAGAGATCATACAAATTGCCAAAGGACTCATATAAACAAAAATATCTATAGCAGCTCTTTTGTGGTGGCAAAGAATTGGAAATTGAGGGAATGTCCATCAACTGGGGAATGACTGAACAAGTTGTGGTATATGAATGTAATGGAATACTATTGTGCTATAAGAAATGATGGGCAGACTTCAGAAAAACCTGGAAAGACTTGTATGGACTGATGCTGAGTGAAGTGAGCGGAACCAAAAGAACGTTGCACACAGTAATAGCCACACTGTGTGATGACCAACATTAACAGACAGCCTTTCTCAGCAATGCAAGGATCTAAGACACCTCCAAAGGTCTCAAGATGGAAAATGCTAGCCACATCCAAAGAAAGAACTATGGAGTTTGAATGAAGATCAAAGCATACTATTTGCTGTTTTTTCCTTCTGTTTTGTTTTGTTTCCTCTTTCTTGTGGTTCCTTCTATTGGTTCTAATTCTTCCTTACAACAACACTAATGTGAAAATATGTTTAATGGGAATGTATATGTATAGCCTGTATCAGGTTGCACGCCATCTTGGGGAGGGAGGAGGAAAAAAAATTTAAAACTCAAAAGCTTATGGAAGTGATTATTGATAAATCAAAATGAATTAATAAAAAACATTTAAAATTTTTTTAAAACTGTGGGTCATGACCCCATGGGGTCATGCTGAAGTGCTGAAGGGATCACGACTGGAAAAAGTTTAAGAAGCTCTGAATTATAGATAACTCACTAAATAATTGGTCAAAGGATATGAATATATAGTTTTCAAAAGAAAAATTTCAAACAACTAACAACCATAAGGTAGAATGCTGCAAATCATTAATGATAAGAGAAATACCAATCTAAGCTTTTACCTCGAATTTAGAAAATTGGTAAAGATGACAAAAGATGAGCATGGTGTTTGAGGGGTTGTGGAAATACAGCCACACTGATAGAGCTATGAATTGGTCCAATCACGCTGTAAAACAATTTGAAATTATGTGAAGAAAATAATCAAAATATTCATATCATTTAACCCAGAGAGTCTATTGCTAAGTATATACACCCAACAAGGATAGTGATCCTTATAAAATTCCAGGTGGGACAGGAGTTTCAGAAAGCATTTATTTTATTTTACTTTATTTTTAATTTATGGAATAAAACAAGCATTTCCATAATATAGTACAATAAAAAAAAGATGATTGCACATGAAATTGCAAATCTACTTTACACAACTTGCTATTCCTTTCAAATACACAACAAAATTGTCATGTAAATTTATTTTTTTTTCTTCCCTTCCCCCACCCTAGAGATGGCTACCATTAGACCCAAATAGGTATGCCTATGTAAAATTATTCTATACATCCTTCTATTTATCTGGATGCAGATAACATCTTTCTTCATATGTCCTTTATAGTTAATTTGGGTATTGATAATATTCAAAATAACTTATTCACTCAAGGTTGTTCTCAAAACAATATTGCTGTAACTATGTACAATTTTCTTTTGGTTCTGCTCATTTCACTCTTCATTATTTCGTGCAAATCTTTCCATGTTCAAAAGATATATACCAGGAGTTTTCTGATGAAGAAATCAAAACATTTTATACTTATATGAAAAAAAATGCTCTAAATCATTATTGATTAGAGAAATTCACATTAAAGCAACCTTGAGATATCACTTTACACCTACCAGACTGACTAGAATGATAGAAGGGGTGAGTGACAAGTGTTGGAAGGGATATGGAAAAACTGGGACACTAATTCATTGTTGGTGGAATTGTGAACTGATCTAACCATTTTGGAAAGCAATCTGAAATTATGCCCAAAAAGTTATCAAACTACTTGAACCCGGTAATACCACTACTTGGTCTATTTCCAAAGATAATTAGGGAAAAAATTTAAAAAATCCATATGTTCTAAAATGTTTGTAACAGTTCTCTTTGTGGTGGCAAAGAACTGGAAATTGCAAAGATGCCCATCAATTGGGGAATGGCTGAGTAAGTTGTGGTATATGATTGTGATGGAATGCTACTGTACTATGAAAAAGTATTTAGAAATTGATTATTGGACCTCTCACAGAAGACAATAAAATACTGCATAAAACTCTGTTAATAAATGAGGGGTTATCTGGAGGCAATTTATCTAAGCAATGACCTAGAACATAAAGCTTTCTGAAGTGTCAGGAGTAGTTACAGACATTGATAGACCTCCACACTTCACATTAGTTCCATCACAGTGGAACCAAAGGTTTAGATTAGGATTTTTCTCAGGAAAGGATCCGTTTTCCCCCGGGGCAAGTGGCATGGAATATCTGAGTCAGAAACATGATTAAAGTACTACAACACTGGCAGAATCTGGATGTAGATTGCTAGAAAGTACAGCTTTTACAGTTGTACAGATTCCAAAGCCTTCAAAACCTAAATCATATTGCATAGATATTTGCAGAGCCTAGAAAAGCAAAACATTTCACAAAAAAGGGAAAGGCCATTCATATTAGCATCTTGGGTCAACAATCAACTACAAAGACAGAGAAAAAATAAGCAATAAAGTCTGAGGAAGCAAACATAGTTAAACTTGAACAAGGAATTGGCATTCCTAATTTGTCTTGAGTTAAAAAAAAAAAGGTGCCAAAACTTTTATCATTTCCTGTTTGGAGTAAATTGGCTTACATATATGACCGAGCTGCAAAAAAAAAAAAAGTATCTAACTTGTTTTCACTCAGCTCCGTCTATTCATCACATCTTCCTGTGAATAAGCCATAGAAACTAGCCATGAGACCATCTCCTGGTTTCCTAGACTCAAAGGTAAGAATCTACAGAGAAAGGAAACAGCAGACAGAATGAATCCACTGGTCTAGCTCCTCAAAGGCCACAGCCACAGCTGGGCTTGGTGAAGAAGATATCTCAGCATTTGGGCTGACTCTTCACAAGGTATAGCACCTTTGCTGAAAGTTAGGCCTATAGACTCCCTGGGATCCCTCTTCACTGGGAATCTGTGATCTCCACCACCTCTAGCCTTCATATTGGTGATTCCTTAGTGGTTTCCTCTACTATCAAAGGCTGAAATTATCCTTCCAGCAAGGCAAGAATTTATGAACTGCTCTAAGTGGGGAGAGAGTGCCAGAAGATTTCCAGATAATAAAGTCTCCTGACTGAATTGTTAAAAATTATTCTTATATTAAAGAAGGACTAATCTCTCATATCTCTCATAGAGTGTCTACAGTCAATGTTTAGTCACCAAATGGATAGAATAGGACTGAACAGAGTGGTCCTAGGCCAAGTTCCTAAGGTCTCGATTCCATCGGTTACAAAATATGGTGAGAGATATGAGAAAAAAGTAGTGGAGAGGAGAGAAAGAGAAGAAGAGGAATTAAGAGGGGGGGAAAAATGGAGGAGAGAAGAAGAGGAAAAGTAAAGAAAGGGAAGAAGGGGGGGAGGAGAGAGAGAGAAGAAAAAGGGAAGAGAAGGAGAAAGGAGGGGAAGAAAGGAAGAGGAGAGAGAGGGGGAGAGAGCAGAAGAGAGAGAGAACAAATGGCAAATTGGAGCCCTCTGAGCCAAACCCATCGTGTTTCTTGACCTCCAGGGCCTGCAAATCTAGAGTCTGCTGAAAGAGGACCTCCCCTGGGTGAGATCATTCTCTCTCTCCTGGTTTGAACTTAGATCTTATTTCACTTCCAGCTGAAAAGCTTATTCACTCTTATGTATTCTTTGGTATATTCTAATCTGTGGAACTTCCATTTCTGTTTGCTCTTTTCTTCGGATTAATGTTCCTTTGTTATTACCGCTTGTTTCTTTTTTGTCATTAGCATTTGGGAACAGTAGACTAACCTAGAAAGCATAAGCTAAGGAGTGCCTCCCCTTTAAGAGTGATCAGAGAAGTGACTTGTGTCCTGAATCTATCAGACCTTTAGAGCAGAGATATTAGAGCACTAGCAGATGGTGTTCTAGCCTCATGCCCTTCTTTGAGACTGAAAGAGATTGACCAGCCTCAGTGGTCCCAGACCTTGCCTGTTCCTTTTCTTCCTCCATCTTACTGTGGTATATATAGGCATAGTCCTCTGCCTGATTGTCCTATAAGCGAGCCAAAGTTCAGATCATATCTATCCATTGCCATCCATGAGCTGCATCTGTATTTTTAGACTAAATATATGTATGTATATATAGATGTGTGTCTGTGTTTGTATACTAGGCTAGAAGGTGTAGGCGGACAGATACCTTGCTTATTTTATTTTTCTGTTTTCCTTGTCACCAAGTACATGACTCCTAATTGAGTATAAATGAATGAATAAAAATCATTGATCATTTCCTTTATGCCAATCATTGAGCCTTAGTGCTGAGGATTCATGTATAAAAAGCAAGGTGCCTACTTTGTTGTACAGGGAGATAAGGCAGTAGTGACTAGGAAAGAATGTTTGCAAAGTCAAAAGGATAGAGTGTGGAGATGCTCATTGATAATTGATAAAAATTTAATACAAATAAGTGTTTAATAAATGCTCATTGACTGAATGAGTGAGTCTCTCTTATAGGATCTAATACTGGGCTCAGTATTAACAATGGAATCCCAAATACTGTCATTCACAGATCTGTTCTAAAGGGGCTGGAGGTTCCCAGTGAAGATGTGTGCAAACGGAGCTGCTGCAACAGGGATTCCTGATCTTAATCTCCACTTGGCTTGAGATGGCTTTCCAGGCCATTTGACAATCTCTTCAGATATTTTTGAGGTTGAGGGTAAATGGTCCATAACCAGACAAGTTTCTGACTGCAGTTGCAGCAAGGGGAAGCAATGCCATTAGAAAGGGGGATGGGAGGAGAGTGGTCACATGGGGGAGTAAAGTAGAGGTCAGCCCTGCCACTCTCATTTCCAGCAGTCTCTCTGGAGGGTTGTGGGGAAAGAGAAGGAACATTACCACTTTTTCGGCAAAAGGAAGACTAGAATTAGAATTCTGTAGCTTATTAGCAATCTACCTTTTGCATTCGCTTTTTTCCCCAGCCAAGAAAACCAATAGCTAGGAAAGATAACTGGTAGAGAGGACAGATGGGTCCGACCTGAATTTTCCCTCATAGAAAAAAAGTGAGAAGAAAACAGGACTAGACAGAAAGAAAGGAGGTAAGAAGCAGATGTGAGCAATAAAGGAGGAGTAACAACCTGATCAAAGAAAAGAGAGAAAAGATAGGAGAGTAAAAATAGTTTTTTAAAAATAAGATTTGAAAGAGGAAACTGAGGCAAGCTCTGGTTCATTTAAGTGGAGTGTCTCTTCCCTCATAGTCCTTAGGTCAAAGAGTATGATATGGCCCAAGATTTTGAAAGAAGACAGCAAGTAGATACTACATGAATCAGAAGAAAGAGAAGGTCAGCACCATGAGCAACTGTCTCCTGTTTGTGACTTTCTCTACTCTGGTGCATCTCTCCCAGGTGAGTTGAAGTGTGAGGAGGAAGATCCCTCTCCTCCACACACATATACACATGATTCTGTGGGGAAGAGAGGTTCAGTTGGGGGAAAGAAGGTGCATGGAGATAGGTCCTGTTAGAAAAGGACTATAGTGTCTACTATGGACGTGTTTTGCATAACTGCACATGTACAACCTATATTGAGTTGCTTGCCTTTTCAATGAGGGTGGGTGGGGAGGGAGGAAGAGAGAAAATTTGAAACCTAAAGTTTTAAAAACATGTGTTTAAAAAAAATGTTTTCACATGCTACTGGGAAATAAGAAATACAGGAAATGGGGTACAGAAGTCTATCCTGCCCTACAGGAAAATAGAAGGGGAAGGGGATAAGAGAAGGGGAGAGAGATAGAAGAGAGGACAGACTAGGGGAAGGGATATTCAGAATGCATGCCATCTTGGGGTGGGAGGAGGGGGGAGATGGGGTATAAATTTGGAATTCAAAAACTTGTGGGATTGGATGTTGAAAGCTAAAAATAAATAAATTTATATTAAAAAATTTTAAAAAAAAGAAAAGGACTATAGGACTATGGTGATTTCATTGCAAGATTTTATAAAAGGAATAGCATACGTGTATATCTGAACATAATGAGAACTGGAGTAAGGAATAGAAGTTACAGTCATCTTGGGTTCAGGTGGGGTACATGAGGACTTTAGAATGGCTGCATGAAGGTCCAAACTTCTCTTTTCCCCAGGATTCATTAAGGATATATTTGTCAGCCTTTTCCTACCACATAGACCTATACACACTATGTGATATATCAAGATCGGGCATACAAGGAGATTGTCCCTCTTTTATACCCCTAGTATGGCCCTGATCTCTACATCAAGTAGACAATCCAAGATCTACAAAAAAAAAAAACTGGAGAATGGATTTCATCAAATGCTTGCCTTCTCAATGAAGGGGGAGGGGAAGGAGGGAGGAAGAGAATCTAGAACTCAAAAATTTTTTAAAAAGAATGTTAAAGTTGTTTTTACATGTAATTGGGGAGAAAATAAAATATAAAAAAAATTTAAAGAATGCATTTTATCTTTTAGGAATACTTTGGACTGCTAAGATGTCTTCCCATCTGGTTATGTATTGCAGGTTAGCCTAGAACTGGACTAGCTTATTAGATGTGAGACAAGAAAAAGTTCACTGGGTCATTTCTCCCCAAGGATTCAGTCCAATTCATAAGGAAAAATTTGAGCTGTAATAAGGTTCATTGAGAGGAAGATAAATAAAAAGACTGGAAGTAGAATTCTTAGAGGGTTAGGTTTTTTTGTTTGCTATTTATGAAATGGAGTTAGTGTTCTACTCACCTTTATTTTTCTCTTAGGCACTAATATATTTTTGTATCTATTTAAACACATTCAACTTTTATTGATCCTCTGTGAGAATTCAATTTAATTCAACACTGGGAAGTCTTGGTCATAAAAGCTGTGAGCAGGTCCTCCTGGCTGGAGGGTACATGCACTGAGTGATGTGACACCTGGGTAGAACAAGGGCAAAGGGGTATAGATTTGAAGGTAGAAGAATATGGCCCAGGAAAAATTGTTTGGTACTGGTGTGGTCAAATGAATAACATGTAGATAGGTAGATAGATAGATAGATAGATAGATAGATAGATAGATAGATAGATAGATAGATAGATGGGTGGATAGATGAATAGATAGAGTAAGCCTTTAATGTGTTCACTTTATATCAGGGATTGTACTAAGCACCAAGGATTCACATTTATGTAAGTAAGACAGCCCTGCCCTCAAGGATCTGACATTCTAATGGGGAAAGATAGCACATGTGGAGGTTTTGGAAAAGGGGGAAGAATTAGAGAGGAAGTGATCAAGAAGTGGTAGGGGCAAGATAAGTTAAAAGTTCCCCTACTGGAGGCAGGGGGTTGAGGTGAGTAGAGAGATAGCAGAAGCTACATGGCCTTAAGGAAGCAGGTAAAGAGAGAAGAATGTTCAAGAGTAACTTGGAGCCATAGGCAGAAAGCAACTCTGAGCTATTGCAGAAGGAAATGGGAGCCCCAGTGGGGACCTGAGTTGAAGAAGTGTTTTTGCAGGCACCAGGAGAAGCTGGGCCAGCAGTAGAAGCAAGTCCATGTTTCCCCTTTGTTGGGTTATCACTCTGGACAATATTGTGAGGCATATGGGACTGGGCAGAAATCTTGAGGGAAAGGGGCTTACTGAAAGGGGCTCTCAGGATTTTCTATTGCCTTGTGCCCCTTACTGCGGTATGCCCCTGTTAGTCTGAGTGCTTGCAGGTGATTAGAGGGTGAAGGAGGAGGGTTAAAGGGGAGAGGGAAGAAATTGAGGCTTCCTAGAGATTCCCTTGAGGTAGAGGTATGCTTCAGCCAGAGAGACTTGAGATTCACTGAAACACCCCGGGGTCTTCACGTCAGACCCTCAGACACCAGTGTTACAATCTATGAAAACAATGCTGCTCATTCATCAGGAGCCTTTCATACACCTTCCCTTAACCATCACCACAGCCATGACTAAAAGTGGGAGAAGTTCTGTACCAATTCATTCACACTCCTTTGCCTGGTCCTTGTATTTTTGAGAAGGGAATGCTTTTGTGAGATGAATGAGTAAGTTTGGTGCAAAACCTCTGACCTTAGAACACAGTGAAGCTGATTGGCCCATATATGGATTGAATTTGTGTCTCTGTTCTTATCAGGTCCCAGGAGAAGAGGGAGGAAATGACAGGTAGGAGCAGACTATATAGCAGAGCAGACTCCAATCATGTGTTACTTTCACTTTTTGTAGCTTCCTTGGGTGACATGTGAAGAGAACTGTGTGAATCCTGAGCAGTAAGTATCTGAACCTCCAAACCCATTTTCCAAGGAGGCAGGGAGGAAGGTTGAGCCAGGAGCAGAGGACAAGAAGTCAGTAGATATGGGCAATTTCACTGTTTCTATTACTCCTGGGATAGGCATTAACTGGGAAACCTAGGTGGCACAGTGGATGGAGTGAGGGGCTTGGAGTCAAGGAGACCTGGGTTCAAATCCAGCCTCAGACACTAACTGTGTGACCCTGGGCAAGTAACTTAACCCCGTTTGCCTCAGTTTCCTCATCTGTAAAATGAACTGGAGAAGGAAATGGCAAACCACTTCAGTATCTTTGCCAAGAAAACCCAAATGGGGTCATAAAGTCAGACACTACAGAAACAATTCAACAACGGCAACTGTCAGAAACAAGCCATTCAGAAGCAAAGATGTGCATCACCATTACCCTAAAGATTCCAAACCAGCATTACTCACAATTGTTTCCACAACCAGACACCCCATCCATAAAAGTAGAATTAATCTTAATTCATATAGAATGTAATCATAGTGGCTTGTCATACACTCCTTTATATATGCTTTTGTGAATCATCCAACATCAATGCTGGGCTTTATTTAGGTATAGTCCCTGGCTACAAACAGGGACCATACCTAGCATGATCACCACCTCATATTTGAATATCATTTAATATTTCCCAATGTATCCATTCATCCCTTAAACATTTAGCAAATGCTTAGTGTGAAGGCAGCATGGTATTAGACTTGGAGTCAGGAAGGCCTGAATTCAAATCCTGCCTCTGACACTCTAGGATGCTGGGTAGGTTACTACTCTATGGGCTTCAGGGAGCTCCCTAAGACCTGTGTAATAATGGGTCAAGGGAATCATAAAGCAGTATGCTAGATGCTTGAGGAGATATGCAAATACAGTTCTGGGTCCTTGCCCTCATAGGCTTTAAACATAGTCACATATATGATCCATTCAGCATAATTATTCTGTTATCTTCCTTGATGTAGGGATTCTGTAAGTTTTCCCTGACTTCTCCAGCCCACACTGATCTCTTCCTTCTTTGAACTCCTATTACATTTTTAGTTAATATTATGCGGTTAAGCATTTCATCATTTCTCTAAATGACAATGTGTATTAGTTCTATTTTCCCAGATACATTGTAAACTCCTTGAAGACAAGAATTGTATCCTTTTTTGATGCTTATTTTCTCTTATGTTAATAATTAAAGAGGATATTTGAGCCACATCTTGTGGGTTGCTCCCACTTTACAGATGAAGGAATCAAGGCACAGTGAGACTGTTAAGTAAAGGAAGTCGGAGAGGTATAGTCATAATAATGCCCCTTGTGACATCAGGGGAACTGAGTTTAAATTCTCCTGCTGCCACTTATTCTCTGGTGATCTTGAGAAAGCTGCCAAACCTCTTTGTGCCTCAATTTCTTTTTTAAAATGAGAGATTTGAATTAGATGAGTTCTAAGGTCCACACATCTAAGATCCTACTGACCCAAGTCAATGAAGTGTCAGAGTTGGGATTTTAATCCAAGTCTTTCTTTTTCTTGCCTTTGGTACTCCATCCCAGTACACCTTTACACCATTACACTGTTACACCTCCATTCTGTCTTGAACCTTGCACAGTTTATATTCCATAAACATTTAATAAGCTGCCATGTGTACAGAACAGTGTGCTAGGCTTTGGTGAGAAGAAGCCAAAAAGTTTAGATGAGGTATGATCTCTGCCTTCCCAGAGCTTACAATCGAGGAAAACATAAAGGGACATACATAGCATTAATATAAGCTCACTAGAGAAGTGTAAAACAAAATGGGGAGGAAGTGGTACTTGAGTTGGACTTTAATCGATGGATTAAAAGAGGAGAGAATGAGAGGAATGCAAAGAGACAGAGGAAAAAGAGTGAGATAGAGGGAAAGAGAGAAGGAGAAAGGGAGTGCAAGGAAGGGAAGGAGAGAGAAGAAAAGAGGAAGAGATATGGAGATGGAGGGAAAGGAGGAATAGAGGGACAGACAGAGATAAGAGAGTGTGAGAGACAGAGAAAGAGAAGAGAGGAAGAAAGGAAGGGAGGGAGGGGGGGAGAGAGAGAGAGAGTGAAACAGAGAGAGAGGACATAATAAGGCATATTCTGGGAAGATTAGAGTTTATATGGAGGGCATCAGATTGTAGAGGACCAGCAAAGGAGACTGAATTTTTGTTGGGGGGCCATAATGAGCTGTTGAAGATTTTTGAGCAGAGACTAGTGCCATACAAATGAAAATTAACCTTGAAATAGAAAAGAGCAAAACAATGAAGCTGCATCTAGGAGAGAGGGGATGCCCTGCTAGAACAGGCTCCTGGAGGACGCAAAGGAAGAAAAAGAAAGACATTAGAGGAAAGATTAACATTAATGAGGAACAATGATGCTTCTCTGATCAGAGGGAAGAAAGAGAAAATGGGTAACGATGTGGAGAAATAGAGAAGGAAAGTTGGATAAACTCATGGGAAATAGCCTCCATTTCAGTGAATCAAAAACTAAATCATGTGCTCTAAGTGCAAGGGGTGAACATACAGACATAGGATTAGAGGAGAGAGAAGAGGGTTTGGAACAGTACCTATGAGGAATGAGACGGGATGTGGTATACGTTCAGAAAGTACTAAAGAAATGTTATCTGTTATTATGCTCACAGTACAGTATCATGCCTAGGACCTAAGCTCAATAGGTACATGTTCAGTGATCAATTGATGGACCCCATTGTCCTTCTTAGCTAAGGCAGCATATAGTGGGAGATATCTCATCATAACCATTGCTGCTTATTAACCAGAAATACAGCAAGCATCACTGAAGAAAAGAATTTGGGAATGTGGCTTGAGGAGAAATATTAAACATGAACAAAATTAAAGTAGCAAAGATAGAAAATATAAAGAATTCTGCAGAAGCTATATGAGCCATAAGATAGGAACTATCATTCCCATATTTATTTTGTGTGGTGCATAAATGTATGCTGATCAATCAATCAGAAACCAGAGAATGTGAGTGCTTTATAGCTATACAGAATACTATCATATGCCCAGTCTCATTTACCCCTTACAATAACCCTGAATAGTAAAATTCTTATAATCTCTGTTGTGTGCATGAGAATATAAGACTAGGAGAGGCTATCTGGTTTTAAGGTCCAGATAGGGATGGCATGACTAGATAGTGGTAGTACAATGCTTATAGAGCATTGGTTTTGGAGTCAGGGAGATCTACGATGGAATCCTGCCTCAGGATTCATAACAGTTATGTAACTCTGGGGTTTTTTTGTTTGTTTGTTTGTTTTAGACAATTTGGGTTAAGTGACTTGCCCAGGGTCACACAGCAGTTGTGTGACTCTGGACAAGTCACTTAATCTCTGCCTGCCTGGGTTTCCTCATCTATCAATGGATAATAATAGAACCTACCTCTTGGGGTTGTAGTGTGGCTCAAATGAGATAACCTATGTAAAGTGCTTTGCAAACCTTAAAGGGCTGCTAAATAAATTATTATCATCATCATTATCATCATTAGTCTAGAAAAAATCTGGGTGCTTCATAGACAACAAGTTCAATATAAATCAATAAGCCAATAAAATTAATAAGATAACCAATGTGATGTGACAGCACGAAGAAGTGCCTGGGTTAAATCTGGATTTAGAGAGAAATGTTGTTCAGAATAAGGGTGGTACTATATTCTTTCCCACTCAGGCTATATCTGGAATGTTGGGTTCCATCTTACATGCTGAATTTGAAAAACATTGACAAAGTGGAGACTGTCCACAGGAGGATGACCAGGGTTGTGAAACAAAGTTGGTCGAAAGAGCTGGGAATATGCCCTGGAGGAGAAAAGATTGGGAATGGGGAGGTAGGGGAGATGGATTATGATCTCTGTCATCAAATATTTGAAGGGTTATCAAATGAAAGAAGATTAGATTTGTTTTTCATGACTCCAGAGAGCAAAACTAACAACAATGGCTAAGAGTCAGAGAGGGACAGATCTGAACTAGACAGTAAGGGAAAACTCTCTGACAGAGTTGTCACAAAGTAAAATGAGGCAGCCTTGAAAGGCAGTAAACTCCTCATCTATAGAGATCTTCAAACACAGACTGCATGAGTTTTGTCAGGTTTACTTTACAAAGCCTGGTTGGACAAACTCTGAGATTCTGTGATTCTGACACACTTTCCATACCTGGGATTTATAAAGACTCAGAAGCCATAAGGAGAAACAGGTTAAGTTCATTCGTGTGTGATTCTTTGTGAACCCATTTGGGTTTTTCTTGGCAAAGATACTGGAATGGTTTGCCATTTCCTTCTCCAGCTCATTTTACAGATGAGGAAACTGAGGCAAATAGGGTTAAGTGACTTACCCAGGGTCACACAGCTGGTAAATGTCTGAGGCCAAGTTGGAGATGACTGAGAACCTAGTGAGAACAAGAAGTCAGCAAGAAGGGTGGGAAATCCCTGCCTTCAAGGAACTCAGAGTCTAATGGGGGGAGGGGAGATAATGTGTAAACAGCTATATACAAACAACATACAGGCAGGATAATCTGCAGATAATCCCAGAAGGAAGGTGCTAGGATGAAGAGAAGGGAGATTGGGAAAAGCTTCTTGTAGAAGGTGAGGTGTTAGTTGAGAGTTGAAGGAAGTCAAGAAAGGCAGGAAATGAAAATATAGAGAATTCCAGACATGAGAGATTAGTTCAGTGCATGGAAATTTATGGAGCTGGGGGTGAGGGAGAAATAGAGTATCATGTGTGAGGAAGAGCAAGAAGATCAGTGTCACTAGATCATAGAGTATATGGAAGGAAGTGAAGTATGAGAAGGCCAGAAAGGTGGGAAGGGACCAGGTTGTGAAGGACTTTAAAAGTTGAATAAAAGATTCTCTGTTTGATCCTGGGTGTGATATGGAGTCTACTGAATGGAGGCAGGGAGAGATTGACAAACAGATCTATACTTTAAGGAGATCACTTTGATGGTAGAGTGGACAGTTCATAGAAGATGGGGAGAAAAGCAAGATCTCCCAAGATAGGAACAACCAGCAGGCTATTAGAATAGTCCAGGCATGAGGTAAGATGAGAGATATTATTTAGGTAGACTAACAGGCATTGGCAACAGATTAAATATGGGGAGTGAGAGACAGGGAGGAGTTGAAGATGGCGCCTAGGTTGGGAACCTGGGTGACTGGGAGAATGATAGTGCCTTCAACAGTAATAGGAAAATTAAGAAGGGAAGCTTTGTGGGAGGGTGGGGAAGATAATGAGTTCAATTTTGGACATGCTGAGCTTGAGATATCTATGGCATATCCAGTTCAAAGTGTGAAACTGAAGGTCAGTATAGAGATTAGGACTGGATAAACCTGAGAATCATCTGCATAGAGACAATAATTGAATCTGTGGGTACTGATGAGATCACCAAGTGAAGTAGTATAGAGGGGGAAGACAAGAAGGCTCAGGACAGAGCCTTAAGGAAAATCTACGTGTAGCTGTCATGACCTGGGGAAAATCTAGCAAAGAAGATTAAGAAAGAGGTGTCAGACCTCTCTGAGAAGAAAACCTGGAGAGTTTTTATGGAGAAACATGAAGAGAAGAAAAAGAAAGAAGAGAGTTATTGAGAGTTTCAATGGCTTCAGAGAGGCCAAGAAGGATAAGGACTGAGAAAAATTAAATTTGGTAATTAAAAGATCACTAGTAACTTTGGGAAAAGTAGTTTCAATGGAACGAGATCAGAAGCCAAACTACAGAGTTAAGGGAATTAGAGGAAAGGAAATAGAGGCACTGAGTATAGAAGACTTTCTCAAGCTTAGTGACAAAAAGGAGGAAACACGTAAGAGGATAGCTAGAAGGGATGGTTTCAGTGAGGGTTTGTTGTGGGTTTTGGTTTTTTTTTTGTTGCTGTTGCTTTTTAGTACAGAAGAGAGATAAGCATGTTTGTAGGCAATAAGAAAGCAACCAGTAGACATAGATTTAAAATTAAGTGGAGAGTGGGAATGACAGAAGAAAAACATCTTCTGGGAAAAAACTGAGGGAATGGGATGAAGAGCTGACGTAGAGGAGTTAGCCTTAGAAGGAGAAGGGCCACCTGTTCATGTGAGTGAAGAGTGAAGGAGGAAATGGTGGCAGAAGACAGAAGGAACACTCTTTGGTTTTCAAGTATATAGTAAAGTGAAACCACATTTTAAAGTATCATTGCAGATTAAATCAAATTCTAAGGTTTCTTTAATAGACAACGTTAATTACAGGGGTAATATCCTTTTTTCCTGACACCAGCATTATAACAAGCTTTCACTATACAGGACTATATAACACTATATAGCAAGCTTTTCACAATTTTAACTTCATTACATGACTGTTCTGCTTCATCCCCAGCTGTCTGACCACCGACTGGGTCCACCTCTGGTATATCTGGTAAGTTTTGAAAGATAATTCTCCAGCAAGTTACCCATTATCAACATTTATTGGTCTTAAGCCTAGTTTCCAGTGCCACATCAGGGAAATAATGCATCTTTATAGCCATTGGGCACATTATAAAGCACATTTCTCATGCTACGGTGGAAGGTAATTCAAATCCTCATTCTATAGGTGAGGAAACTGAAACTCAGAGAGCTAAGTGATATGCTCAGACCCACACAGATAAGTTCTAGAGCTAGGACTTGAAACTGGGTCTCCTAACTTCAAATATATGTTAACAATATTTAAAACGTTCATTCTACTGTATCATTTAGGCATAAATACAAAGAACCAACAGGTTGGCATTAAACAGATTCATTTGGCTACCATTATGGCATCTCTTTAAACTAAATTTCCTTTACTGAATACAACCTATGTGACTATAAATGATAAAGCTTTTGACAGAAAAAAAAATTGAATGGTGTCAGGAATTAGCAAACTATTGCCTGAGGGCTAAATCCAACCTGCCACTTGTTTTTTGTAAGGCCTGTGAGCTACAAATGGTTTTTCTAGTTTTAAACACAAATAAAACATATAAAAACCATTTTTTAGCATGCCTGTGCAAAAACAGGCAGGGATAGACACTATCACTTCTAGTAGATTAGGAATTAGTAGAGTGATCTGACCCAAAAGATAGACATTTATGATTTACTATAGACTTAGAAGGATATCGTTAGGTATAGTTCACAGAGATCTGTTCTGGATCTTGCACTATTTAAAGTTTTTAATCAATTAGCTGAATAAAGGTATGTATAGCATGCTTATCAAATTCATAGACAACCACGAAGTTGGGAGGGAAATTAAATCTACCTCCTCCAGCTTGTACATGAAAAGTTAATTTTCTGAACCCAACTTTATAAATTTTATTTTAAAACTTTATATTTACTCCTATTAAGTTTAATTTTATTGAATTTGGTCCAAGTCACATCCTGTTGAGATATATACATATTTTTTTAATCCTGATTTTGTAATTCAGGCTACCAGCTACCCCTCTAAGCTTTGTGCCAATTGCAATTTTTTTTTTAGGCAATTGGGGTTAAGTGACTTGCCCAGGGTCACACAGCTAGTAAGTGTCAAGTGTTTGGTCTGGGGCTGGATTTGAACTCAGGTCCTCCTGACTTCAGGGCCGGTGCTCTATCCACTGTGCCACCTAGCTGCCACTGACTGCACCACCTAGCTGCCTCTGATTGCAACTTTGATAAGCATGTCTATCTAAGTCATTGATAAGAATGTTTCACAGCCCAAAGCCAAGTTCAGACTTATAGACTTCCTGAAATACTATCCACTAAGCTATACTACCTCTCTTTCTTATAAATTTAATAGAGAGGAGATTAGTAGGAATAAATGTAAAATTTTAATGCTTGGATTCAAAAAAATCAATTTAACAAATAGAAGATGAACAGGACAATATAACTAGATAGAAGTTTATCTGCAGAAGAGCTGGTTGGTTGAATGACTTGCAAACTCATTATGAATCAATAGTGAGATGTACCTAAAAAAGCCAGGGCAATCTTGGGTTTCATTAGGAAACACCATGTCTAGGAATGGGAAAGTAGTAGTTTTGATGTACTCTGCTCTGGATGGAATGTATTTTGTTAGGTTTGGACACTACAATTTATGAAGGACATTGATTAACTGGAGAGCATCCAGAAGAGGGCTACCAAGATGGTTAAGAGACTTAGAAGATCATTCCATGCAAAAATCCACTAAAGGAACTGAAAATGTTTTGCCCAGAGTTAGTCACAGTGAGTCTGTCAACAACCATTATTAAGTATTTACTATGTGCCAAGAACTGAACTAAGCACCAGGGATACAAAGAAGAGAAGAAAAAAAAAACCACATGCTAGATGGATAAGTGGCACAATGTAGGGAACACTGGGCCTGGAGTCAGTAAAACTTGTATTCAAATCCAGTCTCATTTACTAGCTGTGTAACCCATCTTACCTCGGTTTACCTCAGTTTCCTCATCTATAAAAAGAGAACAATAGCAATACCTACTTTACAGGGTCATGTATAAGATAATATTTGTATTAAATTAAATATTTTATTTAATTAATTAAATTTATTAATTTGATTTATTTTAAAATTTTAATTAATATTTAATTAATATTAAATATTTTGTTTTTTAAAAAATAAATTAAATATTTTATCGAAATGAGATAATATTTATAAAGCCTTTTATAAACCTTAAAGCATGCTATTACTGTTATTAAAAACATCATCCCTATCCTAAAGGAACTCAAATGCTAATGGGAGAGAAAACACACAAAAAACTATAAATGTAAGTGTAAATTGTATATTGTGTAATGTCAAATATACAGTGTAAATTGTCAGTAATCTCAAAAGGAAAGGATAAGCAGTCAGGCATAACAGGAAAGGCTTTCAACAAAAGGTGGGATTCATGATGAGTTCTGAAGGAAGCCAGCGAAGGCAGGAATGAGGGTGAGCATTCCAGGCACAGACGACATTCAGTGAAAGGACATGGAATCTGGAGGTAGTCCATCACTTTCAAGAAGCAGTAAGAAGGTCAGTGTCACCAGATCATAGAGTTTGGCGGGGGGTGAGGGTGGGGGGAGTAAGATGTAAGAAGACTAGAAAGGTGTGAAGAGGCCGGGTTTTGCAGGGCTTTAAAAACCGAACAGATACTTTTACATTTTATCCTGGAGATAATGGGGAGCCACTGATTTGGGTGGTGACGTGATTGAGAGGTGACATAGACTAAGTGAAGGCTGGATTGGAGTGGGGAGAGATTTGAGACAAGCAAACGAAGCAGAAGGCTATTGTAATATTCAAGGCATAAGGTGAAGATGGCCTGAACCAGGAACACAGTGTATGGGAATGCATACAAAAGATGTTGTAGGCGTTAAAAAGTCAGCAATATAATAAAGAGGCAAGAGGCTCAAGAGAAGAGGGCAGTGCAGGGTTGAACTTGAAGCAGACACCAAAGCTCCCACAAGGTCAACCAGAACCAAGAATGGTTACGCTGAGCATACTCCATGAGATGACCCAGGTAGCCAATTAAACCTCGCTATACTTATAATAAATATTATGGTATAGAGATATTTTCACTTTTCATATTTTAGAGAAAAAAACATTTGCTAACATCAGCATTTTCCTCATGGAATCCCCAATGGTTCCTAATGATCCTAATGGTCACGGTTTAGGAAATGCTCCTTTACTGTCTTCTTTTCCCAACACCCATCATCCCATATGGGAAGCTGGTAGCACAGTTTGGATAAAGGGCTGGGCCTGGAATAAGGAAAGCCAAATTTACTTTGAAGGTGTAACAGTAACAGAAGTTCAGTCATTTTGATCCAACCCCTCAGAGGCACACTGTCCCCTCTACTAACTCAGTTTTCTGCAGAGTGGCCTCAGTCAGCACAATTCCTGCATAACATTGGGCCTATTTAATTCATGTCTAGCTGTGACACATATCCTGGATGAATCCTCATCACAGTTACCCTAAGCTGGGTCACAAAGGTCACTCCTAAAGACACTCCTTGCTCCTCGGGGCATTGCTACCGAGCAGCTGCAAAACTCTGACAATAAGACACCAGGATGTCACTCTCCCTTCACCTAAAATGAAAGAACAAATACTGACACAGGCCAATAATCCAGGCCCATTTTCATAGAACCACAGTAGAGAAGTCCTAAGGTGTCTCCCCTTCCAGCGTGGCTCTCAGTGGAAGACATCAGCAGAGTGCAAAAGAGCCCCCAAGAGCAGAGCTAAAGAGAAAATGACCCAAGAGACTAGGCAGAGACTGACTCAGTCACTCTTAAAAACACATAGCAGTTCTAGGTATGCAGTCAATCAAAACAGACCTCTCCTAGTCACGTAATTATCATACCAGTCTCATAGAAAAATGTCTACATATGCTCCACAGTCTCTCCCAGGCACCATTATCCCACGTCATCACAATTGTCCTGCAAGCGGCTTCCTCAGCCTCTCCCCATGAGTGATGCTATGCCAGGAACCCTGTGCATGTACTATATCCCCATTGAATGAAGTCCATAATAAATCCCACACATTACTTCTAAAACCATCCTTTTTTCCCCTTTATTCTGAATCCCCTTCTGTTCTTTTCAAAGCCTCCTACAAAAATGTTTCAAGGACCTTCTTTCAATGGCATCACTATTGCTTATCATGCCTCCAGCCTCTTCCAATTAAAAACAGAGGGAAAATAAAGACAGCCTTGTGACAAAGAATAATGAAGCAAAACAAATCCACCCAGAGGCCATGTTCAAAAATGGAGACCTCTTCCTGCACCCTGAGTCCATCAACTCTCTGAGAGAGAGGTGGTAGCATGCTTCACCATAAGTGGAGACATAGTTATCATTTCTTTGATCAGAGTTCTTAAGTCTTTTAAAGTTGCTTTTCTTTACAATGTTCTCATTATACAAACTGTTCTTTTTGTGCTCAATTCACTCTGCATCTGTTCCTACTTCTTTGCAGTTGTCTCTTTTATCATTTCTTACACCACAATAATATTCCATTGTATTCATATGCCATAATTTGTTCAGCCATTCCCATATTCTTTTCTATATGCCAAATGCAAACCCATCATTGCCTCCTGCTTCCTATGGCATCCCAGGCAAAGGATTTATTTGTTTACTGTGTCCTGTTACCACAAATTTCATGCTCAATATGTTGGAGCCTTAATGGGCCTTTTCCTAGGTATTATTCTTTTTTTGTGCACAGGAATTATTATGGAAACAGTGGTTTTAATCCAGTTCCTAAAAGAGCAGTGGCCAAATCTGTAGTCATAGGAATACAAGTTATTGGAATTATACATCCATAACTGATCAGTTCTCAGTAACCAAAGAGCAAGTCAGGAATCCTTCCTACTTCAGATGTGTTTCTTCCCTAGCTAAGCCAGGGAACACAGTATTAGAGAGGCATCTATTCGCACAAAATGCTACCATTCTACATGGAAAGAGGTATCCAACAACCCATTTCCAGGGAAGGGAAGGGTTTTATTTCCATGTAGCATAACATAGTCCTTGGGTGGCTAGATGGTACAATGGACAGAGTGCCGAGCCTGGAGTCAGGAAGACTCATCTTCCTGAATTCAAATCTGACTTCAGAAACTTACTAACTGTGGGACCCTGGACAAGTCACTTAACCCTGTTTGCCTCAGTTTGCCAAGAAAACCCCAAACTCCAAGAAAACTTACAAAGGGTCAGACATGACTGGAAGGACTTAACAACAAACGTGGTCGCCTGTAAATCACTCTCAATTATTCTAACAACAATATCATCACCATGGTGACATGATTTTGTTCTCTGTCTCACAAAGAATGAAGGCCCTTAGGAAGCTGAAATCAAAGCAATTCTGGGTAGTACATACCCTGTAAGTCTTTCTGGAAAACACAGAAACAAGAAGCAAATGTATACACGTTGATGTATAAATCTGGATTTAGAGATATGACCACTCATACAGCTTTCCCTCGTACCCCTTCCCTAATAGGCTGCTGGTGGGGATTGGTTTGCTATTCCTTCTGTGTGGCCTGACCTCAGTCTGCCTCCGCTGTTGCATCAATCGACAGCAGACAGGAGAGGAAGTGGGCCCACCACCGTATGAAGTGACAGTCATTGCCTTTGACCATGACAGCACCCTTCAGAGCACCATCACTTGTGAGTATATCCATAAACTCATAAAGGGGGAGCCAAGGGAGGGAAACACTTGAAAGAATGGTGGTCTAAATTGTACACCTTTGGGATGTTCTGGGCAGATCTGCATTCTCAAGTACACAAAATATTTTTATTATGCTTGATTTGTAGATATTCCGAGTGCTAGAGAAGATAAGGGAATGGTGAGAGTCAGACAAGAAAAAAGGAAAGACTTTGTTCCTACATTAAGAAACATAAAGAATCCAACAATGGGGGGGGGGAGTGGATCAGGGCTTTTTTGTACAGTAATGGTAGTCTATGAAGAAAAGGTCCTTGTTGTGACAAAGGGATCACAGAGGATTAATATATCCTTTCAAAATGTGTTCCTGGACCACATCTATCCATCCCAAAGATCTGTTTGTAGTACCACCAAAAGACATTTTGTGGGAATATATGGTTGTCCCTCATAACATATTCAAAGGGTTAATGATGACCCTACCTTAAAATGTTCTTAACTTCTACTGAAGGTACAGTTATTGATCTATTATGCATGCATTCTTCTGTCTTCATGGGACCTATGTATATTTTCAGTCTGTACCACCTCTAAGGGGTACTACATTTTAAAATTTTACTACAGCTAGATGGCACAGTGGATATTGTGCTGGGCCTGGAATCAGTAAAATCTGAGTTTAAATCCTGCCTCAGACACTTAGTAAGTATGACCCTGGGCAAGTCACTTATCTTCAGTTTGTCTTAATTTCCTCATCAGCAAAATGGGGATAATAACAGCACCTACCTCCCAGGGTGGTTGCAGAGATAAAATGATGTCATATTTCTAAAGTGTTTTATATAACCTTAAAGTGCTGTATAGATGCTTACTAGCATTATTATTGTTATTATTGCTGTCCACTGTATAAAATAACACTTTTTCTTTTTCCAAAATCTGTGTCTTTCGAAATCTGAGGAATATCTTCCCCCTAGTTTCTTTACTCTGGTATTTGGTGAATAAGTCCATATCTATATTGCCCATACCCCTTTACAGTTTTATAGACTTTAATAATATCCCCTTTTAATGAAATTTGGAAAAATTTGTTTTTCCTGGCTGAAGAATTATATATTTTCGTCTATTCTCCCTATAACCTTTTTATCATTATAGTGACTCGTTCCTTGGTCAAAGTTCTCACCACCAAAGTTCTTGATACTGTTAAACCCTTCATGGTTCTATCGCCCCATCTGCTTAGCTCCTGCACCCTATGGACCACTGGGTCTTTCCATCTTACTTGCAACTGAAATCTCCTATATATGTCTCACCCATTAGAATGTTAGCTCCTTGAAAGCAGGAGCTATCTTATTTTTCTATTTGTGACCCCAGTGCTTATCACAGTGTAATTAGCACTTAAATTAGCATGTAATTAGCACTTAAAAAGAACTTTCTCATTCATTCACTCATTCCTTCACCAGTTCTATGACTATCTTTCCCCAAATGCAGTGGTCAGCACTGGAATATCGATTCCAGGAGTGAAAGCTTTTGTTTCAAGTTTTTGTACAGTTTTGTCCAGTGAAAGCTGGAGAACCCAAGTTTTATACTATGGCAGGATGTTTTCTGTTTCCTGGAAGGCATAGAAAGATGTCAGGTAGAACAAAGATGGGCAATCCAAAGAGCTCTGATTGTGTAAGTGGGTTCATCAAAAGGTTTCTGAATATAGCAGGAAGGAAGAGTTAGTGGCCAAAGGGCAGTAGGACCAGAATCTGGAAAGCAGAGAAGGATAAATCCAGGGCATTAAGGCAAATGGGTCTTCAAGGAGAGGAAGAAGATGCCTCTTGATCAGGAATCAGGATTTTCACAGGGGTTGTGGGAATAGGTGTGAGGGTCAGAGGGTTGGTGGTCATACTTTGTATATTTGCAGATAACCTAATGCATTGAGGTCAGGGTCTGATTTTCAAGCGTGGCTCCCATGTTCTAGCCTCCTCTTTCTTTCTCTCTGACAGCTCTTCAATCAGTCTTTGGACCAGCAGCCCGCAGGATTTTTGCAGTAGCTCACTCTCACAACCCCATGCAGATACCTTCACTGACCCCGAGCCTGGAGCCACTCCCAGGCTATGAGGAAGCTCTGCACATGAGCCGCTTCACAGTGTCCAAGTGTGGGCAGAAAGCTCCTGATCTGGCTCCAGTGCCTGAAGAGAAGCAACTGCCCCATGGGGAGAAGGACATTCCCCAGCAACAGATAGAGGATGCCCCCAATTGAGTCACCTGGCGTGTGAGAACCAAGTGTAGCACTTGGAGCACCCCTCTCTCACATGGAGTCCCTAGGATAGCTATCCCAGGTTCAAGGTAGGATCTGTAATCACTCAAAACTCTAGTTCTTGAGTCTCTTCCAACATGTTTACTTTTTCCTCCAGTCAGCCGGAGGATACAATTTGTTCAAAGCAAAGGCATTTAATGAAATAACATAGTAATAAGAATCAAAATAGAACATTCCTTCCCATAAACCTGGAGAACACTGTCACAAACATACACACTGTGTGGTGATGGGAAATGGGCACATGCTTAAAGAATGTGTTTCCAAACGCCATACGTGCAGGACTAAGTCATCTCCAAGGCTGCAGGACAATGACTGTCTCCTGATAAAGTCACCATGTTGTTCTCATTGGTCTTATTTCCTGATTAGTGTAGAATCCCCACTGGGTATATTGCTCTACTAGTTCCTGATATTTTTGCAATGACTGGTGGGCATGTAGTCTCACAAGGGGACTGCTTTTCTGATTTCTAGTGATCTAATGTTGACTTCTGAGTATGATAGTCTCTGTAGGACATTGTACCCCACTACCTGTTTCTGGGCTTCTTCTCTTTAGGGTCACTTGTTGGCCATCTCAACTCTCACTTACAGTGTAGTGGCTTGAATGTCCCCCTACTAAGGGCATATCGATGGAGCTTTAGTCAAGCCACCACACCCTACTAGCAAAAGGCCGAGTGCCTCTAGGCTGATTAAGTTTTCTTTTTCTTTTGTTTTAACTTATTTTTTTTAACTTACAGAATAAAACAAGCATTTCCATAACATCATATAATAAAAAGATGATTGCCCATGAAACTACAAATCTATTACGTAAAACTTGCTATTCCTTTTAAATATATAATAAAGTTATCATGTAAATTTCTTTTTTTTTCCTTTTTTTCTTCCCTCCCTTATATACTTTTTGCCTCAGCATGTAAATAACTTCGAGCCAGACCAAAATGCAAGCTAAGGTGGCAAGGGCATTGTTGTCCACTCCCTTAACCTTTATTACGCACATCAATCAGTAACAAAACTCCGGTTCCTTAAGTATTATATTTTGGCCAGTGAAAAACTTTATCTCCATGATTTTTTCTTCCGGTAAAGAATATGAAAATCTTATCAAATTCCTTGCAGAGTACATATGTAAACATATATCATAAACAACATAAACTGCTAAAGAACATCCAATTTCATAGTCATACTAGCACAACATACATTAGAGCATAATGTGAACATAACACAACATAAAATCAATAGCATACTTAATAGGGCAGTGTGGTACTTTGTGTTTTTTTTTTGTTTGTTTGTGTGTTTTTGGCTAGGCAATGAGGTTAAGTAACTTGCCCAGGGTCACACAGCTAGTAAGTGTTATGTGTCTGAGGCCAGATTTGAACTCAGGTCCTCCTGAATCCAGGGCCGATGCTCTATCCACTGAGCCACCTAGCTGCCCCAGTGTGGTACTTTGTAAAGTACACTGACCTGGGAATAGGTGGGATTCGAAACCAGAGCTCAGGAGACCCTTGAAACCAATGCTTGAGTAGGCAAATTGCTTAGCCCTCTCTGGGCCTCAGGTTCCTCAACAACTAGAGGACCTTTGAGGATCTTTCTAATTCTTTATTAATATAGAGAATGAATGTTTTGGAAGGTCCTTTAGAGCTAGGACAGTGTTTTTCACTTTCTTTAGCACAGTGCCTGGCACATATAACATTTAACAAATGCTTCTTGACTTACTGACTGTTCAAAAAGAATCCATTTAATTCCCCCAATAGACAAGAGGTGATTGTGATATATTTTATTCCTGCGGCTAACCTGTAGTCTAGAAATTTGTCCAATCTTTCACCTTGGTAAGGTATGGCTTTTCTTCTATCTACTATCTTGTGTGTTTCCTTTACCTCAAGATTTCTTTGCAAAACTCTTGCCTTGGGGGGGCAGCTAGGTGGGGCAGTGAACAGAGTACCAACCCTGAAGTCAGGAGGACCTGAGTTCAAATCTGGCCTCAGACTGAACACTTGACACTTATTAGCTGGGCAAGTCACTCAACCCCAATTGCCTAAAAAACAAAAAACAAACAAAAAAACCCTCTTGCCTTGCTGAAGATCTTGATAATGAATTGAAGTATCTCACTGTCACTATTTCTATCAAAGTTGAGCCCATAGCTAGGCAATGAGGTTCCTTTAGCCTATTCCTCAGCTGAGAGTTGTACATTTCCTACATCTTCTGACCGTCCAAATATTTAGCTGACAAATATAGTTCTTGCCTAAACACCACCAGGTGTTTAGTGATACCACTGAGCCTTCTACTCAAGCCTTAACCATACTCAGCAGCGTCTGATCAAAAAGCTCAGTTTGGGGAATTACTTGGAAAGTAATGAAGTGCGGTTCTAGAATCTTTGTTTCTGCTAAAGTCTTCTAAAGCCAACACCTTCCTAAGGACTTTTCTTTCAAAGTCAAAGATTTTCAAAGATTCTAAAAAGTAATTGATACAGTAGTCGGTCGACAAGTATTTATTAAGTACCTGCTATATGCCAAGTTTTCTGTCAATTGCTAAAGATTCTAAGAGAAAAATGAGATGGTCTTTGCCCTCAGGGAGAAATGCTTGTCCTGAAACACCCTAGCTACTGCAGAAGCAGGGTGGGTCCTTATTGGGTATACTTGTGCTCATAGAATAAAATAGTCAGTGACCAAAAAAATGTTGATTATAATTTTCTTGTCTTTTTCCAAGCTCCAACAACTTGCTGGTCTTTACACTCTCCAAGCACGCTAAATATTTTGAAAGTATTATGCTTTGAACGTGTTGGGCACAAGTAGAGACCTCTGTTGCTATTTAGGGCCAGTAAAATTGTCATGTCCTTCATCATATAGTATCATCATGGTCATAGAATCAAATGCCTTCTTTGGTGACACCAACTGCTTCTTTATAGTGTGTGATCAGATACAGACTGATGTGAGATGCTCTCTCTAGGGAATGGAGTTTGAATCCATGAGAGTCACTCTCTCAGTTCACGGCTTGTGTTACTTTACATAGCCCATCTTCATGAAGCTACTCCAGCTCTCAGTCACCCAATGGAACCCAAGGCAAAGATTGGTGCAGTGCAACAAAGGTCACACCCACTGATGGCACACCCTATAAAAGTGGCCCCAAATTCTCAACTGTATTTCCATTTGACTGTGATCCAGCTTCTAAGTATCAAAGACCATTTTCACCCCATTCTAAGGCAATTACCCTAGCTTTTGACCTACATGGCCTACAGGGCACAGCATCTGTGTCCAAATTGTGTCCTGTCCCTGGCCAAGGATGTGTCCTGAACTCCTACTCTGCTACTGCTGCTACCAGGCAGACAACACACAGATTGGCAACAGACAAAATATAGATTAGTGGATAGTCATCTGTTTCAAACTTAAATTTAGCTCCATATACATAGTATCTAAACTTCAAAGCAAAAATGCTAGTTTGAATATGGAATAATGGGTCTCACTGTGAAGTCCTCTACTCACAAATGCAGTGGGTTTCTGGTGACCCTCACCCTCTTGGTAATAGATGGCTCCCTAGTATTCCAGGTGAGCTTCAGAAAGAATATGACCAGCTCTATATTGGCTAGAGTTGGTACATATCCAAGGCTGTTGACCAAATCCTTAAAAGTAGATTCACATTTCTTTTCCAGTGATGTCCCAATGGTCTTAAAGAGGGTTGGGCCAATTGTCCAATGCTCACCCAACTGTTTTGAGTTCTTCCAAAACACATATCCAAGACTCCTATCACTGGCAGGCTTAACAATGATAATATAGTTATCTATGAAAGACTGAAAATAGACACTGAATCCTAGAAACACTTTGAGTTTGTGGAGATTCTTTAGCCAACCAGTCAGCACGTCTATAACTTGTGGATCAATACTAACTGCATGTTGAGACTCTATGCGACCCACATATTTGACAGGATCCCTGCAAAACTGACATTCATTAACTTCTTCCAGCTGATCTAACAGTTTCATTAAGTCAAGTCAGTGAGTATTTATTAAGTGCTTACTGTTTGCCAGATAACTATGCCATGAATACAAGCAGAAAAAAATACAGCCCCTGCCCTCAAGGACCTTATAGTCCAATGGCGAGGGGGCAGGGGGGGAAACAATACATAAAGGGGTGTTGGAAAGGAGAGGTGGAAAGGAAGGAACCCAGGCATGGTAAAGAAAGTCCTGATAGTCAGGAGTAGAATCTGAAGAGGAATAAATATGTCTGTCCCTAGACATTTTCATTAAAATAAAGGTTCTGGAAGGAACCAGCCACAGGAAGGAGCTGAAGGGCTGGGGAGTACTTCCAGTGTGAGAAATCCCTCACTAGAGGGACAGAACAAAGAGGTATATGTGGCATCTTAGAGAAAGTCCAAAGAGTCAGGGGTGGATCCTGAAAGGGAATTAGCCTTTCTTGATAATCCTCTAGTCTAGAGTCTTTCCAAAGACAATGACGCCAATTAAGTATACCAGCACTTCAGGCAGTTCTGCTTCCTTCTCCATAACTGCTGAAATAAGGACGCCGCTTAAGCTTCTGTGGGGGCATAGGCTCCAACTGTCAGAGTTTTGCTTGGAGAATAACAACTGTCTTCTCCTTACCCTCCTCTGACATGGGAAATCTGTCAAGAACTTCTATGTAAGTCCAGTACTGAAAACCACTGGCTACTCAACAAATATTCCAGACCAGGCTGAACTCAGGGAATGGTGTACTACTCCACTTAGTTCTCTGGTTCAATGTCTAAACATATCTATGAAGATACTATTGACAAATAATTTGTGTGTGTGTGTGTGTGTGTGTGTGTGTGTGTGTGTATGTGGCGTTAACGGAGGGGGGTTGTATGGTTCTGAAGTCTTCCATATCTGAGAAGGCTATCTTTTGAAATTACTTTTTTTTTCCTTTTTTCTTTTTTTGCTTTTTGGTGAGGCAATTGGGGTAAAGTGACTTGCCCAGGGTCACACAGCTAGTGAGTGTTATATGTCCGAGGCTGGATTTGAACTCAGGTCTTTCTGCCTTGAGGGCCCCTGCTCTATCCACTATGCTACCTAGCTGCCCCTTGAAATTACTTTTTAAAGGACAGGTAGTCATAAAGTTAGGTTCTGCTCATCAATCCTTGGGCAGACTCTTCATTACATTCACACAGTGAGAATGAACTGGTCTTTGCACTGAATTTCTTCCTCAAATGATCTTTTCATTCTTAAGGTTCTAGAGATGCTTCAGAATCAAATTTTTCTGGATCTACTGTTGAGGTGGAAGGAGTTGGTGCATCTTTGATGATCTATCTACTCATAGACATCCACATTCCTGCAGATTTCTGCCCAGGGTACACAGATTGTCAAGATGTCTAAAAATTGAGGTTCATTTTGCTTCCCACAATGCCCACAATGCCAAAAGTCTTCTTATATTCTAAGCTCAAATAGCTTAGTGAGCTATTTAAGCTTGAATAGTTTAAAACAGCACAAAAGTTTTTGAGACAGACTATATTTTGAAGAGGCTAGGGTTGGCCTTGATCAATGCTGACACAACAGATGTATTCACCTGGTTTAGACATAGCCTGACTCCAAGTAGGCACTTAATATAAACCTGCTGATTAATTGCTTAGTTTTAGAGCTTAAAACTCATGATTGTTGTTGTTCAGTTGTTTTCAGTCATATCCTACTCCTCGTGACCCCATCTGACATTTTCTTTGCAAAGCTACTGTAGTGGTTTGCCATTTCCTTCTCTAGCTCATTTTACAAACGAGGAAACTGAGGCAAACAGGGTTAAGTGACTTGCCCAGGGTCACAC